TTTTACAAACATTTACCTGTTTACTGTGTTTTTAAAAAACCTCTTAATCTTTTTATGGGAATTCGCGTCCATGTTATCGAACTCCATTCAACTATTATAATTCAATATTTGTTATTTTTACTAATTACCACTAAACTTAATAATTCAAAATTCAATATTTTATTTTTTTTATTTATTGGTCATCACTGAACTTAATTCAATTCATATAGGTGAAAGACTTAAACTAATGGACCCATCCACGTACGGGCTACTTTATAAAATGGAAATCTTTAAAAAAAAAAACTAATAAACTTCATAAGTAAATATAATATCATATTTTTAAAACCTCACTTTGCCTCTCTAATATATACTATTTTCTTTCCTATCATTCTTTCATAATTGTTACATTATTATAATTAGGGGACAAAAGTGAATTAATTTAGCTCACAGTTCATTAAATATTTAGTTAAAAATAAATAAGTTCATTAGACTTGTTTTTTTTAAATAAAAAAGATTTTATAATTTTACTAAGTTAAATGAATTGACTCATCTAAATATGTTTTATTATTTCATACATTTATCCTAATAAATTGATTTGAAACTTTTCTATATTTCTCTAAGTATTTATTTCATCAAATATTATTATAAATACACCAGTTAAAAGTTATATTGTCAGCCTAAAAAATAAAATAAGCATTCAAACAATTTAAATATTATTAAAGAACCCTCTAGTTTTTAAAAATTCAAATTAGAAACTTACAAAGGAATAATAAATAGTTATAATAAAAAATCAAATTGTAAACCTACATAAAAACAATAAATAGTTAAAGGAATTGAGTTTAAGTAAATTCATATTTAAAAAAAGAAAAACTAAAGCTTTTTCAAACCCAAACACTTAATAATTAAAATGAGTTAATAAAGTAGTTTAAATCCATTTTAATATCTCTAATTATAATTTTTCTTAAAAATCAGAAATATATATTGTTTGTCATTTTAAAGCTTTGGAGGAAATGTTGACTTGTTTCACGTAAGGACACATATATCTCTAAAGTATTATCATACAAAGTTTCACACGCGAGGAAAAATGGATTTATCTTCTTTTTTTTTCATTTAAGCTGCTAAAATCTGTGTTTTTTAATTCTAACAAAGCTGTAACAGTATAAAATAAGAATAATGGTACTAAATACATTTTTTCATTTACTTTATACTATAGAATGTAAATTTAATAAAAAAAAATATAAATTTTATTATTTTTTTAAAAAGAAAGTACCCCCAAAACATGTAAAAATTTATGTATTGAAGTACTATTTTTTTCTAATACACACTAGGCACGCTGTACGAGACTAGTTACCTCTAAGTTCTTGGAAAACTTTCCATGACTGAATCTACCTCGGAACGCCCCCTTCAAAGTCTCTCCCATCCCAAACGGAGGCAAATTCGACCTAGCAAACAGATCTCGTTCTTTGTTTTGGTTGTTGCCGGGTCCACCCACCGAATCTTCCGACACAAACCACTGCTGGAACAGACACTCGGTGGTATGTTTCAACAAGCCTTTGTTTTTAAGAAAACAGATAACAGCACAATGCCAAAAGGAAGAAACTGATAGGAAGAAGAAGAAAGAGCTTAGTGAGATGAACCATGGCTGCTTCACTTCACTTTCGCAACGTGTTTCAAACATCATCACATCACTCTTATTTATTATAAACCTACGTACTCTTTTCATGGAATATAATTATTTTTTTTACAACAAAAAGAAGTTTTATAAAATAGGATGCCATTAGTCCATAGTGTATATACTTTAGATAATCTTATTTAATTTTTCCGTACGTGTAAAACAACTTTTACATCTATTTTTAATATACTTTAGATAATCTTATTAATATTTTGATTAATATCTGAAAAACACTTATTGTTGCTCTCATTTTTTAAAGTGAAATAATTGGTACATGTCGGGTCCTTTAGCTTTCAGGTCATTTATTGCATGAATTTGTTGTTGGCCTGAAAAACAAGACAAATCAAGGAAGCTAATTTTGCCATGAATCATGTTTTTCTTATAATTATATTAATTTGATTTTTTAGTGTGGTTGTATAATGAATGAATGATAATGCATGATAAGAATACAACTTTATTGTTTGTGTCTGATTTTTTTAGTTTTTTTCGTGTAATAATGCATGATAAGAAAAAGTCTCTTTCTTCTTCATCTCAAATATTTAACTAATTTAATTAATTTTACAAAAAAAAAAATCAAAAGTAACTGTTGTATTTTGATTTGTATTTTTATCTTCTTTACGTCATGTTATAGTTTTATATAAAAGTTAAATACATTTTCATATCAATACCATAAAAACAGTCAATTTAATTATTAAATATCATTCTTCTTGTACTGAGTGTGAAAGTCCTAATTGATTTTCACTAGTTGTACGATAAAATATTAGTTTATTTCTAAATTATATAATACAAGTTATTTATTATTTTACATTAATTTTAATATTATTTTATATTAGTTATAGAATCTCATTTGTTACGTGTGAAAACACATACGTAAAATAATACAAAATAGAGATAAACAATCACATCAGACATATCTAACATCAATGAAAATGTAAAAATTACAGAAATCAATTAAAATTGTAAAATTTTAAGTATTTAACAAATTACAAAATTATAAAAAATTTAATATATAAATTTTCCCATCCCCTTCGAATTTATGATCATTTATAAAAAAACTTAAACTTAGTTAGACCTAAAATATAAATATTACACCAAATTTTATGATAAAACTGGAATTCCTACTTTTATCCGTTTTTATGAAAATTTTAAGTTTAATAACAGTATAATTTATTGATGAAATTAACTTTTATAACAATTTTGGAATAATTCTGCAAATTTTGTCACCAATAAATTTAAAGATTTATTTTTTTTAGATAATTTTGACTCATCCACTTTATTGTTTAAACCATTTTTCCAACTCAATGACTATAATTTATTAAATTTTGATATTCATCTAAATTCATTAACTACTTTGTTTGTATTAATGTCGACATTATTAAGACAGATGTTGGAATACATGATGACATAAGAATTCTTTAATTATACTTTCATTATTGTTTGATTTTAGTGAGTTTTGACATAAGAAATAAAATAATACATAACCATAGTTTAACGATTGGATTTACACTATCTGTGTTATTAATAGTGTATACATTTTACATCTTAAACTCAAATAGTTCTTTCCCAATATATGTTGGATTTAAAATTTATATCTGACTTACTTTTTTTTGGTGGTATTTATAGATAAGATTGGATTGAATTTTTATTTAATCCAATTAAAATATTTTGAGTTGAATCCATGTTATTGTTTTAATATATATATATATATATATATATATATATATATATAAACAAAATAAACAATAATTTACATTTTAGAAAATGCTAATTTCTCTTCACCATTGTCTTTTGATATAACTTTCAACTAATTATATCATATATGTAACTTGGTCAAATAATCCATATAAATAAATTAAATAAAAATTTAATTAGAGGAATAAGGAATGTTTGAATAAAGTGATTGAGACAAGAATGAAAGATAAACAAGAATAGAAATAAGCAACCCATAATATAGAAAAAGTGATGTTTAAATTCATGTTTAATTGCGTAAATAATATACGACGTATATGATTTTATTAATATATTATCTCCATGTAAGTTTCATGTCCTTTTTTGTATTCACATTGCATCTATTTCATAATTTTCATTTGGCATTTGCACTTAATCAATCTCTAAAAAATTCCTTTATCTCTTAATTATTATTTTTACATCCACACTGCTCCAATAAATAAATAAATAAAAACATTAACTGTATCGAAACATATCTTCAAAGATTGAAAGAAATTGATTTAAAAATGAACAGTGAAGTTTGATTATTTGTATAGAAATTAATAGAGTATGTGCATTGATGAGATGGTAGCAGGCTTGAAGGCAGTTGAAGCAGTTGGCACCAGCCTTGCCTGGGCCCTCCTTTTGGGCTGGCCTCCATCACAAACCCAGTTAACGTGTGGGTTCAGAGACTATGACCTTGACACCACATGGGCCCAGTAGTTTTGATTGTGGTACCAAATTTTTAAGGTTGAGTTGGCCCGTGCAGTGTTCTGTGTCAGGTCTATTTTATGGGCCTCAGATGTTCTTTGTATTGTCCTTTTCCATTCTGCATTGCCAAAAATAGTAAGAATAAAATAATAAATATATTTTTTTCCCATTTTACTAGTAAAAAAGGCAGTAAAAAAATATATTTTTACGATATAAAAATTGTTAATATCAAAAAATTATTTTTCAAAAGGCAATGGTAATGCACAGGGTACAATTTATATTGATATTTACGTTTTAGAAAAAACTTGTACTTAAACCGACATCATCGTATGAAGTTGTAATCAATGTCTATTTAATTTTAGTTTGACTTTATTTATAGTTAAATGAATACACTTTTAATGTTTTTTAATTAATAAACTTTAATTTTATAAAAAAAATGGAAAAAATAATAATAATAAGTATTAATATCTAATTCGGGTTAGCAACTGTGTTTACTAAAAAAGTGTAAGAAGCAATTACTCAAACCTTTAGTTATATTATATATAGTTGAAAATGATAACAAATTTGTAGTTTCAGATAATCCTATCTTCACAGCTCATTTTAATATAATATTGTTATAATTTTAAAATTAAGCCAAATAATTTAATTATTTTATCAATTAAAACTGTTTTTAACTAAGTTTTAGACTTAACTAAAGTTTAGTTCTTCTAATTTTAATTGTTTCTTACGATTTTAGGTCACTGTTTAAAAATCCCTAATTTTGATATAATTTTTTAAATTATCATTTATTTATTTATATCTATGATTTTCTTAAAGTATATATTGTAAACCGTGGATTTAATTAAATAAAAAACCACAAAGTAAAATGTATGTAAAAATAAATTCAACTGAAATTATAGAATTTTCTTAAAACATGAAGACAAATTTAAAGAAAAAACAATTAAAATCACATTAAAATTTTCAAAGAAATCAAAATTATTACTTGTGTATTATTTCCTCAATCAAAATTCAGCTCCAAAAAAATGAAAATAACATTAACAAAATGAAGAATGAAGAGGAAAATGTGTAAGTATACTACACCACAAAGAAGTTAAAAATCACCTTTTCCAACTTCTTAATCAGTTTGATTGCCTTATTGTGTATGTAGTAATTGCTGAGAGCTATGCTTTATACTTTCCTGAGCTTAATAAGAAAAGATTGTCAATGAAAAGTAGGATTACAGGATTTAGAGTTGTCTTTAGTTTCAATGTTACAATAAAATTTGAGATTTATTCTATTAGAAAGTTATTAGCAAATCTATTGAACACTTTTATATGCACCTTAACTCAAACATTACTGTTGGAGCCACTTCAAATGTCAATATAGATATTCTATTCCCTCTTGGAGCCACTGCAGTGTCAAACCCATTACTGTTGCTTAACTTTGGCACACTACTTCCAAGTGTGTCCAGAACTTCCACTGCCCTCTCACCAGCTCTTCCCCAAATGGAACCTCTCTGGGATCCCTGTGAAAAAGAGAGACACCATTGATCAGTGTAAACATCAAATTTCCAATCCAAAGTCTCCATAAGCAGCAACTGTTTGATTTTATTCTGCTCATAGTTTAATAATTTACAACTAAAGAATTAAATAGTTAACTGTTTGAATGCTGTAAGAATCATACAACAAATCTATGAACTGTTCCAGAGTTAGATTATTCCACCAAAATGTTTTCCATCAGTTAAAAACCATCAATATGCAGTAGAATTAGAACCACTTCTTGTTAAGATCTCTAACCTCAAAGATTACTCTGCAGGATCAAAACAGCTTCACCACTTTCATATTTTAGGCAGCATATCTTCACTCAAAAACAATAATGTAATGGATCTTAATTTTTACGAGCTTCCAACTCATTCATAATTTTGATTATTAGTACCATCATTCTTAGTCAGCAGACTCACCTAACATATTCAATGAAAGGGTAACAAACATTAATAACCAATTCTATAACTATATTAACCACACCATACACACCATATCGGGATAGAATGCGAAAAATGAAACCAAAAACCATACATGGATATGATAAAGATGAAATTTCAATCATATGTAGTTTATTAATTAAATATGCATCAACCATAGATTTGGCTATTTTAATCATTTGGTCTGACTTAGCACCTTTTAAGAAATTTGATCATGAAATAAAATAATCTAAACATGCAATCAAAGAAAATCAAATAACCATTTCACCTACCAAAACAACTTTATTTACATCACATAAAAAATCACTTTGGGATATTAATAGAAAAGGGGAAGGAGTAACAGATCAGTGTAATTGAAATATTACAAATCCATCATCAGATATATTGATGAGCTAGTAATCAGTACAATTGAATGAGGAACCTGTTGTAACCACAAAAACACATAAATCATACCATAATAAACATATTAGTGGCCTAATTAAAAAGGTAAAACCCAAATCGAAAAGACACTCCATACATACATCACAATTATGGGAAGATGGCACAATATCCTCAAGCTTTTTTTTTGCCAGTTAAGATGTCAATTCCAATAAAGTGACACTTTGGGTGGAAATTTATCTAATTGATAACCAGTTAGCTCAAGAACTGAAATTACTACAACAGATTACAAACAGTACATAATGTCAATAAATAAACAGAAGCGAGTAGTGTCAATAAATCTTCCCTTGGCCATGCGATTTCCAATAGAAACACCGATATCAGAACCACACAGGTACCAAGATAAACACCAATGACTATTATTACTAACAAATTGAGTAAAACTTCTTGGAGTCAGAAATAAAATATAAGGACTTACAATAAATGTAAATAGGAAATATTTCCTATCAATTCAAAAAAAGCTGAAAGAAAAGACAAGCATAAGTTGTAACCTGTTCAAATGTTAATGAAGAAAGTGTCTACTCAAATTTGGTTGTAAATTAGAGAAATAATTACTTTTTCAGAATATAAAGTAATTAGCAATAATATAAAACATGAGGAAAGAACAAAAAGTATGAATTCAATCACTGTCATTCATTTCTCAAACAATCAGCCCCTGGAGTGGGTAGGGAGAAAGTGGAGGTTTCTCAATCTAATTATCCGGTTAGTTCTGTAGTAGTTCAATTTTGATTCCTTAAACATATTCCAATAAAAAAAATATAACAACATACCCATCATAGAACCCAACATACCTTAACCATAATACTCACTTATGTATGTCACACTAGCAAGTTGTAAAATACTGACCACCAAAGCACATGGTATACAAGTCCATCAAACTCGGGCAGAGCCACCCTCTATTCCAATAACTTCAAATCTTAGGTCATATGAGCTTCTAGGAATCACCAATAGTCCTTGCAAGAACAGTAACCATCCTTGAAATGATGAAATCTATTAGCATCCCTCAAAATGATCTCCCTTCCAGTAACTTTTGCAATTAATTTAATTGCAGAATGGCAATCACCACAAACCCGCAAATTTTTCATAACTCTAATTTGCATTCCTTTCGGCACTTTTAGAATTCCATATGCTACAGCTAGCTTTTCACTATGATAACCCAAGCTAAGTGTCTTCTCTTCCTCATCCACATCGTGAAGGACAAAGCTACCATCAGGACAATACCCAGCTTCCCTCAACAATCCACCTAACTTCTCCAACATTTTCATGATAATAGGCTGCTCAGGGTGGCCCTTGCTGTCACCCCCGGTGAACATATGTACCTTTTTCTCCACCTCAATCCAACTACAACCAGGCAATTTCATAAAACTCCTAGACTTCATTTTCTTCCTAAGGACTTCAACATCTTTCCATCTTCCTCTGGACGCATACATATTTGAAAGCAAGACTAAAGGTCCAGCATTTTTAGGTTCTAGCTGTGCAAGTTTATCAACGGAAATTTCAGCCAAATCCAGATTCATATGAGTTCTGCATGCTCCCAACAATGCACCCCAAACAATTGCATCAGGTTCCATTGGCATCTTTTGTACTAGTTTCATTGCATCATTAACCTGGCCTGCTCGGCCTAGCAAATCAACCAGGCAAGCATAGTGTTCAATTCCCGGTTCCACTTGATATTTGCATTTCATTGATTCAAAAAGTTCAAGCCCTTCTTTCACCTTGCCACTATAGCTACATGCTGAAAGAACTCCGATGAAGGTAACATCATCTGGTGGAACTCCAGAGGAGCCCATGTTATAAAAAACATTCAAAGCTTCGTCCCCCAATCCATGCTGGGAATAACCCGTGATCATAGAGTTCCACATAACAACATCCTTCAAAGGAAACCTGTCAAAAACACGTTTTGCTCTCACAAGATCGCCACACTTAACATACATTGTAATTAAGACCGAGGCAACATATAAATCCTGATCAAATTCAGATCTCACCAATTGAGCATGCACCTGCCTCCCATGGTCAAGACTGGCCAGGCTGGCACACACAGAAAGAACACTAATTAATGAAGGGAAATTCAGCGCAACCCCTTCTATCTGCATCCTCCTAAACAAACCCAAAGCTTCTAACTCGTACCCTTTCCTCTCATACACCTTGATCAAGGCACTCCAAGTTCCATCATCCCTATCCTTCATTTCCTCAAACACACGCCTCGACTTATCCACTTCGCCAGCAAACCCAAACCCCATGATCATCTCATTGCAATCAACAACCAGCTTCACCGGCATCATGTCAAAAAGCTTAGAAGCCTCTCTCATCCTCCCACTATGAGTATAACCCATAAGCATAGCAGTCCAGGACACCTCATTCCTCTCCGGCATCACTTCAAAAAGCTTCCTCGCAACATCCACTCTCCCATTCCTTGCATACCCGGAAACCATAGTTGTCCAAGTAACCACATTCCTCCTCGGCATTTGATCAAACAGCTCACGAGCCTCGTCCAAACGACCCTCCTCACAATACCCTCCAATCATGTTGGTAACCGCTACCACATCCTTTTCAGGCATCATATCAAATAGCTTGCGCGCATCCTCAATACGAGCCTCTTGCAGCAACCCGCCGAGCATAACGGTCCATGACACCACATTCTTGTCGGGCATCTGCCAGAAGAGTCGTTCTGCTTCAGCAACATGGCCGTTTCGAACGTAGCCACGGACCATAGAAGTCCACGAAACAACTTTGCGATCGGTCATTGCATCAAATACCCTGCGCGCCTCAAGCAGCATTCCGTTCTTAATGTGGCCTGAGATGAGACCGTTCCAAGATACGGTATTTCTGTGGGTCATTCTCTGGAACAAGAAAAGGGCCTCGCGCGGTTGGCGAGCTTCGAAGTATGCAGCAACCATTGTGTTCCACGAAGAGATGGTTCTGAGAGGGAGAGGCGTTTCGTCGAACACCTTGCGAGCATGACCGAGCTGACCGCTACGCGCGTAACGTGCGATGGCATTAGCAGTGGAGCACAGTGATCTCACTTGCAGCAGCATGCTCCATAACACAGTGGCACGACCATGGTGACCCATCTACATATAAATTCAAATAAATCTATTAAAGGTAGAAAATAATTACATTATCAGAGACAACCTTTGTAGCAGATCTCACGGGAGTTATAAATGCCATTGAGATTACTGTGAAAAAAGGATGGAGAGCTAAGTAAGAGGTGTGCAATTTTTACTTAGCATTGATATATCGAATTAAAAAAATAAAACTCATGACAGTTGCTTTGTAAAATCCTTGAACTCGGTCAAAGCAACTGACAGGTGGTTTGGTGTGCGTGCTAGATATACTCACCCCTTCTCAATTTTATATTATATAAACAAGAAAATACAAAAACAAAAAATAATTTTCAATATATTTATCTCAATTCATTAACCAATTCAAGTTATAATATATATGCATTATAATGAACATAATTATAAAAATGGTAATAATAATCTTTAAAATATTATATATTTAGTAAATCAATTATCATTATCCTTTTATACAAATGGAGTTTATTTTGACATTTAATTAATTATTTGATTATTTTAATCATAATAAATTTTCACAAACATATTTGTTTCTAAAATAAATATAAAGTATATTTATTTAATTAAACATAATAAAAATAAAAATGAGGTTTGTATTGTTTTTGTATGAGATCTCCAACGTTAATAATAATATATTATTCATAAACATATTAGTCTTTAAAATAAATACAAACATATTTTCTGAATTGAAAATAATAAAATTAAGATTTTAGATACATTAGGCAATATCTTTAACATAAACAATGGATAAATAATATACAATAATAAGATAAGTGTCCATTAATTTTAATCCAATTAATTGTACACCTTTGAAATTGATATGCGGAGAGGGTAATATCGTAAAAGGAGCAATACGCGTGGTCGCGTAGACATCACGAAACCGTGTGGTACTGGAAGTCGGTTTCTCTGGCTATAAATACAACCCTTTCCCCTTCTTTTGTTTCATTTGGCTTGCGCGATTCAGAATTAGGGTTTCATCTTTGTGAAGCCCTTTGGCCGTAGCCGCCTGTCAGAGAGAGAGATTACTCCTTTCCTAGCTTTTCTCTTCTCCTCTTTTCTTGAAATCGAACCTCGATTCGTTTCTGTAGCTGAAGGATTTGGTCAAAACACAAACACTCACAACCATCCATATAAAGCAAGCTTTTATATTAACCGAAGATGTCTCGGTGTTTCCCTTTTCCCCCTCCAGGTTATGGTGCACGTAGCGAGGCCTTGATCGAATCGATTAAGGTTTGTGTTGAGCCGTTTCGTTTTTGCGTTTGTGCGCTCAACTCTGCATGTTGTTCCAAATTGATTTTCTGGATAGAACTGCGGGATGAGATTGTCCCCCCTCTTTGGATCTTTGGATGTTTTGATCGAACCCTAGAACGTGATTTTGTTTTTTGGGCGGGGATAGGTTGATTTTTATAAGTGAATGTGGAGAAATGGTTCCAGGGTTTTCTTTTGGATAACTATAAACAATGACATATTTTTTAACATAATATATTTGGTGGGATTTACCAAAGGATTTCTAAAAGCATGCAGTTCTCTCAACTGACTAATAAATTATTTTAATCTTTGGGTTGGGGATAATGAAATTTTTATTTAGTATAAACTAATAATTTTTCGCAATTCTAAATGTGGGATTCAAATCTTGGACGGGTTTTTTATATACATATTACTGCATGTTAGGTTTATTTAGTTAGGATGAAGATGTGAGATCCTGTTATGTATAGATTAGTGGGTGATTAGGTATTTCTAAACGATCTCATTCATGGATAGACGTTGGATCTTGTGTGATGGAGCTAGTCTGGGCCTCTTTTAGTAATGCGTGGCTTGTGGACTGCTACTGTCTTAAGATTTGTAAAGGATATAAAATATAAAATAGTTCTTGTAATGGCTGAAACTATTGTTCTTGACTACCAAAAGATCTGTACAAATATGAGATAGTTTAGTTATTGCAATTGCATGGTGAAACAAGATTGAAATGCTTGCATAGCATGTTTGTTTCTTTGGACTTCTTCCCTATCCTCTATTTGAAAATGTTATTCTGGTGCCTAAAGCTCCGAGAGGAGATAGAGAAGAAGAGGAGGGAAAAGATAGAGAAGAAGAGAATCAAGAAGGAGAAGAAGAGGGCAAAGGAGGAGAAGAAAGAGATAAGGAAAGAGAAGAAAGAAAGGAAACATAAAGAAGGAACAACTGCAGCTACTATTGGCAGTGACGATGACAAGAAGTTCAAGCTCATTAAGGATATTAAGGAAACCAAAGCAGATGGGAAGTTGCAAAAGGGTGAAGTCTGTGACAATGAACTACTTGAGAGGAGTGGAATTACAGAGGAACTTGAACAACCTGTTACTTCTCGGGAGCCTTGCTGCTTGTCTGATAGTACTCAAAGCAGTAAGAGGAAAAGGGGCTCCCCACAAGCAACCCATGAAAATGGTGAGGAAGCTTTGAAGTGATCACTTCATTGTTTATTGGTTTGATTGGGTAATTTGTGTTTAAGTCTAATTTTTGCTTATGTATGAAACAGGACCTGCCATTAAAATCCGACTCCCTCTAAGAAAGCACAGTGATCCTGAAGAATTGAATTCCAAATCAAAATTTAATGTGGGGTCTTCTTCAGGAAATGTGGGGGATAGTGAACATCCCTTAAATAAAACTGGTCTTGCTACTGAGCATCAGTCAAAATGTGTCACTAACACAGGTCCCAAAGGATCTATTGGNAGTATAACCCATAAGCATAGCAGTCCAGGACACCTCATTCCTCTCCGGCATCACTTCAAAAAGCTTCCTCGCAACATCCACTCTCCCATTCCTTGCATACCCGGAAACCATAGTTGTCCAAGTAACCACATTCCTCCTCGGCATTTGATCAAACAGCTCACGAGCCTCGTCCAAACGACCCTCCTCACAATACCCTCCAATCATGTTGGTAACCGCTACCACATCCTTTTCAGGCATCATATCAAATAGCTTGCGCGCATCCTCAATACGAGCCTCTTGTAGCAACCCGCCGAGCATAACGGTCCACGACACCACATTCTTGTCGGGCATCTGCCAGAAGAGTCGTTCTGCTTCAGCAACATGGCCGTTTCGAACGTAGCCACGGACCATAGAAGTCCACGAAACAACATTGCGATCGGACATTGCATCAAATACCCTGCGCGCCTCAAGCAGCATTCCGTTCTTAATGTGGCCTGAGATGAGACCGTTCCAAGATACGGTATTTCTGTGGGGCATTCTCTGGAACAAGAAAAGGGCCTCGCGCGGTTGGCGAGCTTCGAAGTATGCAGCAACCATTGTGTTCCACGAAGAGATGGTTCTGAGAGGGAGAGGCGTTTCGTCGAACACCTTGCGAGCATGACCGAGCTGACCGCTACGCGCGTAACGTGCGATGGCATTAGCAGTGGAGCACAGTGATCTCACTTGCAGCAGCATGCTCCATAACACAGTGGCACGACCACGGTGACCCATCTACATATAAATTCAAATAAATCTATTAAAGGTAGAAAATAATTACATTATCAGAGACAACCTTTGTAGCAGATCTCACGGGAGTTATAAATGCCATTGAGATTACTGTGAAAAAAGGATGGAGAGCTAAGTAAGAGGTGTGCAATTTTTACTTAGCATTGATATATCGAATTAAAAAAATAAAACTCATGACAGTTGCTCTGTAAAATCCTTGAACTCGGTCAAAGCAACTGACAGGTGGTTTGGTGTGCGTGCTAGATATACTCACCCCTTCTCAATTTTATATTATATAAACAAGAAAATATCTTAAAAGAAATAAAAACAAAAAATAATTTTCAATATATTTATCTCAATTCATTAACCAATTCAAGTTATAATATATATGCATTATAATGAACATAATTATAAAAATGGTAATAATAATCTTTAAAATATTATATATTTAGTAAATCAATTATCATTATCCTTTTATACAAATGGAGTTTATTTTGACATTTAATTAATTATTTGATTAATTTAATCATAATATATTTTCACAAACATATTTGTTTCTAAAATAAATATAAAGCATATTTATTTAATTAAACATAATAAAAATAAAAATGAGGTTTGTATTGTTTTTGTATGAGATCTCCAACGTTAATAATAATATATTATTCATAAACATATTAGTCTTTAAAATAAATACAAACATATTTTCTGAATTGAAAATAATAAAATAAAGATTTTAGATACATTAGGCAATATCTTTAACATAAACAATGGATAAATAATATACAATAATAAGATAAGTGTCCATTAATTTTAATCCAATTAATTGTACACCTTTGAAATTGATATGCGGAGAGGGTAATATCGTAAAAGGAGCAATACGCGTGGTCGCGTAGACATCACGAAACCGTGTGGTACTGGAAGTCGGTTTCTCTGGCTATAAATACAACCCTTTCCCCTTCTTTTGTTTCATTTGGCTTGCGCGATTCAGAATTAGGGTTTCATCTTTGTGAAGCCCTTTGGCCGTAGCCGCCTGTCAGAGAGAGAGATTACTCCTTTCCTAGCTTTTCTCTTCTCCTCTTTTCTTGAAATCGAACCTCGATTCGTTTCTGTAGCTGAAGGATTTGGTCAAAACACAAACACTCACAACCATCCATATAAAGCAAGCTTTTATATTAACCGAAGATGTCTCGGTGTTTCCCTTTTCCCCCTCCAGGTTATGGTGCACGTAGCGAGGCCTTGATCGAATCGATTAAGGTTTGTGTTGAGCCGTTTCGTTTTTGCGTTTGTGCGCTCAACTCTGCATGTTGTTCCAAATTGATTTTCTGGATAGAACTGCGGGATGAGATTGTCCCCCCTCTTTGGATCTTTGGATGTTTTGATCGAACCCTAGAACGTGATTTTGTTTTTTGGGCGGGGATAGGTTGATTTTTATAAGTGAATGTGGAGAAATGGTTCCAGGGTTTTCTTTTGGATAACTATAAACAATGACATATTTTTTAACATAATATATTTGGTGGGATTTACCAAAGGATTTCTAAAAGCATGCAGTTCTCTCAACTGACTAATAAATTATTTTAATCTTTGGGTTGGGGATAATGAAATTTTTATTTAGTATAAACTAATAATTTTTCGCAATTCTAAATGTGGGATTCAAATCTTGGACGGGTTTTTTATATACATATTACTGCATGTTAGGTTTATTTAGTTAGGATGAAGATGTGAGATCCTGTTATGTATAGATTAGTGGGTGATTAGGTATTTCTAAACGATCTCATTCATGGATAGACGTTGGATCTTGTGTGATGGAGCTAGTCTGGGCCTCTTTTAGTAATGCGTGGCTTGTGGACTGCTACTGTCTTAAGATTTGTAAAGGATATAAAATATAAAATAGTTCTTGTAATGGCTGAAACTATTGTTCTTGACTACCAAAAGATCTGTACAAATATGAGATAGTTTAGTTATTGCAATTGCATGGTGAAACAAGATTGAAATGCTTGCATAGCATGTTTGTTTCTTTGGACTTCTTCCCTATCCTCTATTTGAAAATGTTATTCTGGTGCCTAAAGCTCCGAGAGGAGATAGAGAAGAAGAGGAGGGAAAAGATAGAGAAGAAGAGAATCAAGAAGGAGAAGAAGAGGGCAAAGGAGGAGAAGAAAGAGATAAGGAAAGAGAAGAAAGAAAGGAAACATAAAGAAGGAACAACTGCAGCTACTAATGGCAGTGACGATGACAAGAAGTTCAAGCTCATTAAGGATATTAAGGAAACCAAAGCAGATGGGAAGTTGCAAAAGGGTGAAGTCTGTGACAATGAACTACTTGAGAGGAGTGGAATTACAGAGGAACTTGAACAACCTGTTACTTCCCGGGAGCCTTGCTGCTTGTCTGATAGTACTCAAAGCAGTAAGAGGAAAAGGGGCTCCCCACAAGCAACCCATGAAAATGGTGAGGAAGCTTTGAAGTGATCACTTCATTGTTTATTGGTTTGATTGGGTAATTTGTGTTTAAGTCTAATTTTTGCTTATGTATGAAACAGGACCTGCCATTAAAATCCGACTCCCTCTAAGAAAGCACAGTGATCCTGAAGAATTGAATTCCAAATCAAAATTTAATGTGGGGTCTTCTTCAGGAAATGTGGGGGATAGTGAACATCCCTTAAATAAAACTGGTCTTGCTACTGAGCATCAGTCAAAATGTGTCACTAACACAGGTCCCAAAGGATCTATTGAAAAATCTGATTCCAGCAGTGACAAAGTGTTGCAGAGTTCTTTTAGTGGAAATGCAGTGGTCACTACGAGTACTGTTGGAAGTGACAGTCAGTCACAATATCTCAGGACTTCACAGCCCAAACGGGTTGTTGGAAACTTGGATTCTAGACATCCCAAATCTGTACACAGTTCAGTTCGTCCTGATGTTGTGGTGGGTAAAGATACGATTGGAAATGATAGTCAGTCACTGTCTCTCCGGACGACAGAGTTCAAACGGGGTTCTCTTCGAAACTCTGTTTCTAGACATGGCAATGCAATGCAGAATTCTGTTCATGGAGATTGTGTAGTGGTAAAAAACACAGTTGGAAGTGAGCGTCAGTCACAGTCTCTCAGGACTGCAGTGCCCAATGGTGTTCTTGGAAAATCACAATGTCTTCAGTTGGAAGAACCCAAACAGGTTCTTAGTAACTCTGGCAAAGTGATACACAATTCTATTCGTGGAGATTCTACTGGTGCTAAAAGTTCCACCCTTCAAAATGATCCTCAGACATTACCCAAACGGGTTAATGGAAACTCTGCTGCTAGACATGGCAAAGCGGTGCAGAATTTGGTTCATGGAGAGGTTTTGGTGACTAAAAATACTCCAGGAAGCTATCATCAGTCGATCGCAGAAATTGCTGTTGATGATGCCATGGTCACAGATAAAGCAGTTGATGCCATGGACATAGATAAAGTAGTTGGTGATGCTATGGAAATGGTTAAAGCAGTTGATGATGGTAGTAAGAGAGTGGAATCTTTGTACAAGTCTCTGTTACTTATTCCTCCACTAACGCATGATGGATTTGAGTCATTAGATGAAAATTGGTTATTTAGTTCGGAAGCAAAGGCAAAACCGCCTGCCTCAAAGAAACAGAAGTGTGATTCTGATGTCTTCAAGCTTTCAAGTTCTATGTGGCCTCGTGCAGAATACTTCCCTGAGGTTGATGTGTATGCGCTGCCATATGCAGTTCCATTTTGATTTTTTTTCACATTAGGTAGTTTCAAAGTAGGAAGCTGTGTTCAATTTGACAGAACCGGAGAACTATTGTTTTTTGAAAGAGGAAAAACACTTACATGGCATGCGGGGAAAGATTGCCTAATATATTCTAAACGTGAATGATGCAATTTTGTCTTCCACACCCGACGTAGAGTATTTGCAGAATGTACATAAATATAAATATATATAGATAGAGATATTTATGATTTGTTGTCTATATATTTTTAGTGAAATTTAAAACTTGAATATAATGATATTTTGTTCATCAATTATAATACTTATGAAGTTTTTTAGGCATTTGATTGCTTGTTTAAAAAAAAAAGTCTCTGATGGGTTTTTGTGATTTTGCCAATAGAATTTCAGTACTTTCTCTAGTAATTCTTTTGGCTATTATTATTAATTTATTAACTAACATTTTTTTATCACTTTCTGATATGTTTTAGGTCAAAGGAATAAGTTTTGAACTATGACTTGAATGATGAAATGTGTATAATTGTGCATGGACCTGAATAATTGTCTCTCTTTATAGAAAAAGTGTACATCCCCAATTTTTTTGTGCAATTATTTTACTAAGCATGTAGGATATACTAATTATCAAGTCATTTATACCTTATACTGTTATCATCAGTTGATATTCAGACTATAAATAATTATTTTGTTATCATATTTCCTAATATCTTAGTGATCACTGCTTGTGCATTACCAAATGTTAGCATTTAAAGTACATAATTTTCTAAATCTTCTTACATCTTACCAATCCTATGTATTTTACATTTCCAAGATATTAGACGTATTCGTTTTTCATTGAATACTTTCTAGAGGATTAATAGGAAGGTATAATAACATGGAAATTTGCAATAATTTTCAAAACTATTCTTATACAATCAGTTTATATGAAAAAAAAAATAATAGTGGTAGATTATTACTTTTTAAAATTGAATTTTTCAATCCTCCTATCTTCATAATTAAGGAGTTTAATAAAAACAGTATAATTGTTGTCACCGGACATTTATGTTATAACTAACTTCAGACAAATCTAAAACAATTATTTGACATCTCTAACAATATTACTCCATCTTAATGAATAGATCTAGTATTTTTATTTGAACAAATATTACTGACACTTTTCAAGTCCACACTAATGTTTTTTTATGTTTCTTTTGAAATATCATCACATTTTTTGTACTTTTGTAACTCAAGCAGTAAGTAAAATATTACTTTAAGAAGCATATATCAATTACACGTTATAAACACGTGAAAAAATAATTTTTATTGTTTATTTTGAATTCTTTATTTTTTTTATATATCAGTAAGAAAACTTTAATATCTTCTACCTTGGGTCATTGATTAGTAACTTTCATTTATTACAGGTTATATTTTTTATAATATTTTCATTTCTATCATTTTTTTAATCTTAAAAATTATAAAAATATCCTCCAAAAATTATAATTAGAAGATATAAATGAATTGTTTTGTTAAGAATGGAAAGACTCAAAGAAAAGGGTGAGGAGCATAGAAAGAGTCAAAACGAGTAATACAATATAAATATAAATATAAATATAAAAGGATAATTCATATATATTTGGTATATAAGATTTATTAATATGTAATAACGTATTATCATATAATTTTGTTATTTTTTTTGGGCGAACTCATACCAAATGAATACGAAATTGTAGATAAAAAAAACTTGTTCTTATTCATGCACTTGGATTAAGTATAGAACAATGAACAATGAACAATATGGTCTACAAGGCACATATAAAAAGTAAGGAATAACACGACTAACACAGCAAGTGCAGAAGTAAAGAAAAGGAAGAGGCTTAATGAGTTTATAGTAATGATCAATCCTTACTACTCGAAATTATGATCCTCTTCACCCTCACCCTCTTCATAGTCATCATCTTCATCAACTGTTGCATCCTGATATTGTTGGTACTCTGCCACCAAATCGTTCATGTTGCTCTCTGCCTCAGTAAACTCCATTTCGTCCATTCCTTCCCCTGTGTACCAGTGCAAGAAGGCCTTGCGTCGGTACATTGCAGTGAATTGCTCACTCACCCTTCTGAACATTTCCTGAATTGAAGTGGAGTTACCAATGAAAGTGCTTGACATCTTCAAGTTCTTGGGAGGGATGTCACACACACTTGACTTCACGTTGTTGGGTATCCACTCAACGAAGTATGACGAGTTCTTGTTCTGCACGTTGATCAGTTGCTCATCAACCTCTTTGGTGCTCATTTTTCCCCTGAACATTGCTGATGCTGTCAAATAGCGTCCATGGCGGGGATCGGCAGCACACATCATGTTCTTGGCGTCCCACATTTGTTGGGTGAGTTCAGGGACAGTGAGAGAGGCGTACTGTTGAGACCCACGTGAGGTGAGAGGAGCAAACCCCACCATAAAGAAGTGGAGACGTGGGAATGGGATCAAGTTCACAGCTAGTTTCCTGAGATCAGAGTTCAGTTGGCCAGGAAACCTCAAGCAACAGGTCACTCCACTCATGGTTGCAGATATCAGGTGGTTCAGATCACCAACTACAATTGCAAACAGTTAAATTAATCAAGTTATCATTACTTAGGGAGTGAATGACTAAAATTTTGACTATGTAACTAAAGGTTGATTAAGATAATCATTGTTGTATATTATCTTTTACATAAAATATGATGGTGTATTATAATTTGTATATCAAAATTTTGAAATGTACTGGTACCAAAGATCTACAAATTTCTCTGTGGAGGAGAATTCTAAAGAATGCTTTTCACAATTCCAGGACAGTTCCAAGTTGATGAATGTGTGAATGTGAATAATGAATGCAGGAATTCAAATTTATGCAGGACTGAAGTACTTACAACTAGGGGTGGTGAGTTTTAAGGTCCTGAAGCAAATGTCATAGAGTGCTTCATTGTCAAGAACCATGCACTCATCTCCATTTTCCACCAGTTGGTGGACGGATAAAGTAGCATTGTAGGGCTCCACCACCGTGTCAGAGACCTTCGGAGAAGGAAAAACAGAGAAAGTAAGCATCATTCTGTCAGGATACTCCTCCCTGATCTTCGATATCAACAGTGTTCCCATGCCAGATCCCGTCCCACCTCCAAGCGAATGACACACTTGAAAACCTGAGAAAACAAAAACAAATTCAACACACATTAAACCGACAACACAGTATCACATTCATCCATGTTAACAAAAAATAGCTGGTCCAATCTTAAGACAATACTCAAACTAATAAAACACTCATCACACCAGGGACAGGAAATACATATATCTGTGTTGTGGCTAATATGATCAAACCTAATGCTATCTTATAAAGTGATCTACATTCTATGTTACATTTGCAACTATGTTACATGTGTGTGATCTCTAACAAACAAGTAATCCATAAAACTAATTAATAGAATTTAAAAAAATAGCCAATAAACTTTACGAGATCTTATCATAGTTCCATGATTGTTTTATAATTTTGAACTGCATTCTTTACATTGGTGTAACAGATCTACATCGATATACAAAAGAAAGTGTAAGAGGAACGTGGATACCTTGCAAGCAGTCACAGTTTTCGGCCTCTTTGCGAACGACATCAAGAACAGAGTCGATCAACTCAGCACCTTCGGTGTAGTGTCCCTTGGCCCAATTGTTGCCGGCACCGGACTGTCCAAAGACGAAGTTATCAGGGCGGAAGATCTTGCCGAAAGGGCTGGATCTGATGCTATCCATGGTCCCTGGCTCCAAATCCATCAACACAGCCCTCGGAACATACCTTCCGCCGGAAGCCTCATTGTAATACACGTTTATCCTCTCCAATTGGATATCCGACGCCACATCGCCGGTGAAGTTTCCGGTGGGGTCGATCCCGTGCTCATCGCATATCACTTCCCAGAATTTCGAACCGATTTGGTTCCCGCATTGCCCACCTTGCACGTGCAATATTTCTCTCATTCTTCTTACTCAACGGTCTCTCTCCCTTTCAATTCCACAAACACATCTGTATATATATATGAGATCTCAGAAACTGAGAGTGCCAGGGTAATCGTGGAATGGAAAAAGTTATTATTTTTATGTTCTTGGAGTGTGGTTTGAAGCGCCAATTCTACCACCCATAATTATTCCTACCTTAACTTCTTCTCCTTCTATTTCGCTCTATTTTTGTCTTTTCCCAATCCATTTTTTTCTTTTCTTTTTTTATTTTTACACTTCAACAATATTTTGTTTTAAAATTATTTAACTTTTGTAAGAAAATATGGAACCTATTTCATTTTTATACTGATTTTAAATACTACCATTTCCAAACTTTAAAATAGCGACTAATGTTGTCGGCTATTTAGAGTAGCCCACTCTTACAAGTGATAATTCCTTGGGCTTGTCGTTGACAAATCGAAGATAGGAGTTTTCTTTCTGCACTCCTAACTGTTTTTCATTTACCTCCAAACTTTTCTAAATGTTTTAAACTGGCCTTTTGACTAGGTAATTTTTTTCTTCTTCTATAATTATTCCATCTATCCATTTTTACTGCCACACATGTTTCTTCTAACCTAGCAATGTACGTGGAAAGCTCGGTGGTTCATTGAATTTTGAAATTTGGTTAAGGGGTAGACTAAATTTTTGAAATCTAGTCGCTGGAATATGTGAAAAGCTCGGTGGAATATGTGGAGAGTTCGATGGAGTATAAGGAGAGCTCGGTGAAGCATGTGGTTAGCTCAGTGAAACATGTAGTTAGCTCGGTGAAGAATAAGATCAAACCGGTTAAATCAGTAAGGCATCTACGTAGCTGGATTAAGTCAATGGAACAACTTGTATTTGGAAGATGAATGAAGTAAAATGAAATATACAAAGGTAATGAAAAAGAAAGCTAAAATCCCAAAAATAAAAAAAAATACGTTCAAATGACTTAAGATACCGAACAGTAATTACTCTTTACCTAAATTTTTTTATTATATATATATATATTTATTAAGGTCAAATTTCTCTTCAGAATTAAACTTGGAGGAAAAGAAAAAATCCCTCAGAGATAATAATTTGTGGTGCATCTACAACAATTTGAATTTTCTTTAAATAAAAATCATTACACATTTAGTTCACGGAATAAAACATATTTTAAAATATCCAACACGTATAAAAAAGCATATTTTCAAAAATAAAAATTAACTAACTACACTTATATTTTATATCTATTACAAAAAATATAATTAAAATTATTTTTCAAAGACAATGCATATATTTAAATAATCATTTCCAACTTTTATTAAATGTTTAATTATGCAAATACACCACATATTAAAATATAATAATAATTTGTAAATAATATTTATAAATAAATTTAACAAATAACGTAAAAGAAGGTCTAGTGAGAAAAACATGTTTTCTGCCCATTGCTAACGGATTAACTGCCAGCCATACAGTGTTTTTCACGACAAACGTTTTAAAAATAGGTCCCATTTAACCTTTTCTCTTTCCTTGTCGTTTCTCTCTTTCCAAACGTGAAAAATGACATTTGAAAAGTGTATTCTTTCTTTAAAATTTCAACTAGAATTTCAGATATTTACTTGACAACAATAAATGAAACTCGTACAATTTTGGAACTTCCAAACAAAAATTACTTCATAATTTAAGATTGTGTTAACAAATGTTATGAATACTTACAAATCGAGAAGGGATGACATTAATATAGGAGCTCAAGAATCAAGGGTTTTGATAAAGATTACAAAAATGTGATTTTGGTATCTAAAATAACAAAAAGGGATAATTTTATGAGATGAAAAAGCAATTAAAATCAAAAGGTTAGAAGAAAAATGTTTGGTAAAGTGGGGATGGAATTTCAATGATGAAAACCTAAAACGTGAAATTTTCTATGAAGGTCTAAGATGGGAAATTTTGACAAAGGTTTACCTTTGTTAGTCATATTTAGGACATACGAGTTTGACTAAAGAAAAATGATACTTTTAAATATATAAATTTTTACATTTGACATTATTTTTTTTTTACTTTATATTTTTTATTTTTTTTTAAATATAAAAATTTACTTTTTTTATGATTATTTTATCTTTATATTATATGTGAAATGTATCATTTTAATATAAAATCATAAAAGATACCTACTATAAATTATGAGTAAATCATAAAAGAATGAATAAAGNTCTCTAGTAATTCTTTTGGCTATTATTATTAATTTATTAACTAACATTTTTTTATCACTTTCTGATATGTTTTAGGTCAAAGGAATAAGTTTTGAACTATGACTTGAATGATGAAATGTGTATAATTGTGCATGGACCTGAATAATTGTCTCTCTTTATAGAAAAAGTGTACATCCCCAATTTTTTTGTGCAATTATTTTACTAAGCATGTAGGATATACTAATTATCAAGTCATTTATACCTTATACTGTTATCATCAGTTGATATTCAGACTATAAATAATTATTTTGTTATCATATTTCCTAATATCTTAGTGATCACTGCTTGTGCATTACCAAATGTTAGCATTTAAAGTACATAATTTTCTAAATCTTCTTACATCTTACCAATCCTATGTATTTTACATTTCCAAGATATTAGACGTATTCGTTTTTCATTGAATACTTTCTAGAGGATTAATAGGAAGGTATAATAACATGGAAATTTGCAATAATTTTCAAAACTATTCTTATACAATCAGTTTATATGAAAAAAAAAATAATAGTGGTAGATTATTACTTTTTAAAATTGAATTTTTCAATCCTCCTATCTTCATAATTAAGGAGTTTAATAAAAACAGTATAATTGTTGTCACCGGACATTTATGTTATAACTAACTTCAGACAAATCTAAAACAATTATTTGACATCTCTAACAATATTACTCCATCTTAATGAATAGATCTAGTATTTTTATTTGAACAAATATTACTGACACTTTTCAAGTCCACACTAATGTTTTTTTATGTTTCTTTTGAAATATCATCACATTTTTTGTACTTTTGTAACTCAAGCAGTAAGTAAAATATTACTTTAAGAAGCATATATCAATTACACGTTATAAACACGTGAAAAAATAATTTTTATTGTTTATTTTGAATTCTTTATTTTTTTTATATATCAGTAAGAAAACTTTAATATCTTCTACCTTGGGTCATTGATTAGTAACTTTCATTTATTACAGGTTATATTTTTTATAATATTTTCATTTCTATCATTTTTTTAATCTTAAAAATTATAAAAATATCCTCCAAAAATTATAATTAGAAGATATAAATGAATTGTTTTGTTAAGAATGGAAAGACTCAAAGAAAAGGGTGAGGAGCATAGAAAGAGTCAAAACGAGTAATACAATATAAATATAAATATAAATATAAAAGGATAATTCATATATATTTGGTATATAAGATTTATTAATATGTAATAACGTATTATCATATAATTTTGTTATTTTTTTTGGGCGAACTCATACCAAATGAATACGAAATTGTAGATAAAAAAAACTTGTTCTTATTCATGCACTTGGATTAAGTATAGAACAATGAACAATATGGTCTACAAGGCACATATAAAAAGTAAGGAATAACACGACTAACACAGCAAGTGCAGAAGTAAAGAAAAGGAAGAGGCTTAATGAGTTTATAGTAATGATCAATCCTTACTACTCGAAATTATGATCCTCTTCACCCTCACCCTCTTCATAGTCATCATCTTCATCAACTGTTGCATCCTGATATTGTTGGTACTCTGCCACCAAATCGTTCATGTTGCTCTCTGCCTCAGTAAACTCCATTTCGTCCATTCCTTCCCCTGTGTACCAGTGCAAGAAGGCCTTGCGTCGGTACATTGCAGTGAATTGCTCACTCACCCTTCTGAACATTTCCTGAATTGAAGTGGAGTTACCAATGAAAGTGCTTGACATCTTCAAGTTCTTGGGAGGGATGTCACACACACTTGACTTCACGTTGTTGGGTATCCACTCAACGAAGTATGACGAGTTCTTGTTCTGCACGTTGATCAGTTGCTCATCAACCTCTTTGGTGCTCATTTTTCCCCTGAACATTGCTGATGCTGTCAAATAGCGTCCATGGCGGGGATCGGCAGCACACATCATGTTCTTGGCGTCCCACATTTGTTGGGTGAGTTCAGGGACAGTGAGAGAGGCGTACTGTTGAGACCCACGTGAGGTGAGAGGAGCAAACCCCACCATAAAGAAGTGGAGACGTGGGAATGGGATCAAGTTCACAGCTAGTTTCCTGAGATCAGAGTTCAGTTGGCCAGGAAACCTCAAGCAACAGGTCACTCCACTCATGGTTGCAGATATCAGGTGGTTCAGATCACCAACTACAATTGCAAACAGTTAAATTAATCAAGTTATCATTACTTAGGGAGTGAATGACTAAAATTTTGACTATGTAACTAAAGGTTGATTAAGATAATCATTGTTGTATATTACCTTTTACATAAAATATGATGGTGTATTATAATTTGTATATCAAAATTTTGAAATGTACTGGTACCAAAGATCTACAAATTTCTCTGTGGAGGAGAATTCTAAAGAATGCTTTTCACAATTCCAGGACAGTTCCAAGTTGATGAATGTGTGAATGTGAATAATGAATGCAGGAATTCAAATTTATGCAGGACTGAAGTACTTACAACTAGGGGTGGTGAGTTTTAAGGTCCTGAAGCAAATGTCATAGAGTGCTTCATTGTCAAGAACCATGCACTCATCTCCATTTTCCACCAGTTGGTGGACGGATAAAGTAGCATTGTAGGGCTCCACCACCGTGTCAGAGACCTTCGGAGAAGGAAAAACAGAGAAAGTGAGCATCATTCTGTCCGGATACTCCTCCCTGATCTTCGATATCAACAGTGTTCCCATGCCAGATCCCGTCCCACCTCCAAGGGAATGACACACTTGAAAACCTGAGAAAACAAAAAAAAATTCAACACACATTAAACCGACAACACAGTATCACATTCATCCATGTTAACAAAAAATAGCTGGTCCAATCTTAAGACAATACTCAAACTAATAAAACACTCATCACACCAGGGACAGGAAATACATATATCTGTGTTGTGGCTAATATGATCAAACCTAATGCTATCTTATAAAGTGATC